AACAATGATACATTACAGTATTTAAGACTATTTGGAGAATCTCCAAGTCAGTCAATTTTCTAATTGCTTTGGTTATGATAATGATGCTACATAACTAATTTTTGAAACTAAAAACAAAAACAAAAGCAAACCTGAAAAAAATTTGAAATTTTTAACCATCTCTGAAATGTTTTACATATACTTGTATTTGTTAACTTTTGACCACACTCCTATTAAGATTCCCAACACAGATTTAGACTGTGAATTAGTGTACTCAAACAGGAAATTAAATTTACCCAATATCAGGAACAAACATGACCAGATACACACTTAAAAGCCTCAGTTGGACAACCTAACCCCAGTCTCAATTTAAATTCAACAGATTAGCTACCGTTAAAGAGCAAGCAGCTCAACAAGACAGGTCATGGCTTTAGTCCATCATTCTTTAGAATAATTGAGCATCGTTAAGCATTAACTTGGCTACTATACATGTTAATTCTACAACTAGTTTTAAGAATCAAACTGGATACATAATTAAGCAAGTCTCCCTTTTCCACCTCAATCCTCACCACAAAAAAGGGACAGATTTCCACAGGTTTCATTCACCACAAAGGTTTAACAGAGACATGAGAGTACAGATAATGTAATATATGTGGAAGTCAACAAAAAGCAAACTAGGTTTTCTGAGTTTGGCATGAATGTCATACTAAAATGTAATCCACCAATATTTAATCTAGATATAAACATTGATAACTTCAATTTAAAAAAAGGAAGTGGAGAGCCGACAACAAATACTCACACTAAAACCTGAAAATAAAATTGTAGTGAGTCAATTCACATCTTCAGCTATGCCATGCAACTCAACTTCCTTACTCTTAACAGCCAGTTGGAAGAATTCTGAGCTGCTTCTAAGACTTTTGGAGTAAGAAAATAATTATCCAAAGAAACAATGCCTTAATATTCTAAAGAATATACTCTAGAAATTATGCTGACAAAAAGTGCCTACTAGCTCAAAATCTCAGATGGTTCTTACTAACTCCATGTTTAAGATAGGTTTCTTTTACCATATAAACTTACATGCAATAAACCCATTCCAAAGTTACCACAGTACATTTGTATTCAAATATCTTTTTAACTGACAGTCTTAGAGATTACATTCACCTCTACTTTAGACATGTTGAATGTCAGTGCCCTCAACATCAATATTATTTAATGCAAATAGGAACTTAACTATCAGCTACCCAAAACCATAAACTAAGTACCCCCCATGAATTTCAAACAAGCATCTTCAGAAGTGCTAAAGGTAACCTGTTCATTAAAAGAGGATTGAAAAAACAATTACACAAATGGTTTTTTAAATACCTAAAATTAGCAAAACAATCTAATCTCAGTTCTTGAAGTACCTTCCCTTACACCTTAAGAATTGTCTTTCCAGATAAGTAAAAGCTATCTAGTTTAATATAATATCCTTCCCAGGTGTGGTGGTGCACACCTGTAATCCCAGCACTTGGAAGGGTAAAACAGACCCTGCATGTTCAAAGCCTGCTATCCTGGCCTTTGGCTTCCTTCAGGGGAAAAAATTTGTTAAGCCATACTTTAGATAACTTCCAATGATCTAGCTGGCTGAAAACCAAGTTATGCAAATGAAATTTACGATCTGAAGTTTACATTTCATTTTACACTCTAGTAGTACCAATTGATTCAACTGAATGAGTTTGCTTGTTGATATCCAAACACCATGGGCCTAACATAAACCAAATCATAATACATCAATTGTTTTGGAGTTTGGAAAAAGCCTGATATCAGAGTTCATCACCTGTAAGGCACATGAGGTTGCACAGAGTAATACATGAACAAAAACTTTGTTAGAGAACCCAAAACAAACATGACTTCTATAATGTTTATGTATGAACATTTTTGGCTTAAATATGAAGATATTGGATAAACTTTACAATTGTTAAAGCTCATCAGAATCTGGACCTTTATATAAGTTTTGTGTGTGTGTGTGTGTGTGTGTGTGAGTATATGTGTGTGCAGGGCCTGGGCACTGACCCTGAGCTTTTTTGCTCAAAGCTAACCATCTACCACTTGAGCCACAGCTCCACTTCCTGCTTTCCCAGTATTTAATTAACTGGAGATAGTCTTATGGATTTTCCTGCCCCAGCTGGCTTCAAATGGAGACCCTCAGATCTCAGCCTTGTGAGTAGCAAGGATTACAGGCTTGTGCTACTGGTGCCCGGATTCATACAAGTTTTTCCTTTATGAGGGGATTTAGCACTTGCTAAATAAGAGGAGACATGCACTCAATTGAAAGGTTATTATTTTATAGGTCAGATTCTGGGCTTAGTTCAGCAACAACTAATTTACCTTAGGGACAGAGGAACTGGATTAAACTGTCAAGTGTCATTTTATGCTAAGTTCCTATTGGGACAGAATGAACTAAGCACTGCACTATGCATCGTGATATATTGCTTCCTTTAATAGTTGCAAAGCTAAGGAAAACAAACACATCATCTTAAGGTTCCTATTTTAAAAAAGCTGTGGTAAGGACTGACATAATATTATGATGTCTCTATTTAACAAACTGTCTGTGATTAGATTTGTGGGGACAATACCATACCCTCAGCTAAAAAGGTATATTTTTAAAGCAGAGACTTATTTGTTCTAGGGTAAGTTATCTTCAGATCAAAGAAACAGCACTGGAGCAGTAAGTCTTATCTTTTATTAATTTACACTTAAGAAATACTGACTTGGATTTGTTTTAAATTTAACTCAGGGAGATACCAGAGTAAATAAATGATTACTTATTCCAAGACAGATATAATTCAAACCTGATCTACATGAGGCATTAAAAACGGAACGAAAACACAGAACATTATCAAAGACTGGTTTCTGTTTTGAAGGCTGGTTTCTGTTTTGAAGGGAGAAACATTCCATAAGGGCCTTCTTGGATCCCAAGCAATGTCAAGTTATTTAATTTTGTAATAGGAGATTTCAGATGGGCGCCAGTGGGTCATGCCTGTAATCCTAACTCAGGAGGCTGAGATGTAAGGATGGCAGTTGAAGCCAATCCTAGGCAGGAAAGTCTTGTGAGACTCTTATCTCCAATTATGCACCAAAAAAGCTGGAACTGGAGCTATGGTTCAAGTGGCAGAGCACTAGCCTTGAGCAAAAAGCTCAGGGACAGTGCCCAGACCCTGAGTTCAAGCCCCAGAAAAACTGTTTTCAGTCTCTTTCAAATCCAGCTTATGTACAGTTTTTAACTTATACAATTTACACAAAACTTCACAGTGCACTTTTCTAAATACTGAAACCTTCATAAACTTTTAAAAATCAGCTTTGTGGCACTTTGGTAAACATGATTAATAGTGACTTCAGTTAAATCTAAGGTAAATAAGACTATATGGTTGTTGAGAGAGCAGTGATCAGTCTTAAATCCTATTATAACCCTGTTCAGGAGTTTCTTTTACAGATCACCATCAAAGCGTTTCCAAGTAGGTGACATCTAAATGCTGCTCTATCTCTCAGAATGTGGCTTACTTCCCATAAAGAATAGGTAAATAGAGCAAGTAATCACTAGGTGGAACTCAGCACTTGTTAAGAGCAGGTAAAGGATACAGGTGTATTTTGCTCATCTCTCCCTTTGCTCTTCCTATACTTGGAAGGGAAATGAGGTGGACCCTTTGCATCTTCCTTCATGTTTTCTGGGGTCTCTCTCCAAGAATTTTTTGAGCGCTCCAAGTTGGTAAGGACCATCAAACAAGGAGCATGAGGAAAGTCAGAAAGACTGCTCCTATTAACAAACCTATATACATACACATTTTCATTTAAACTCTGACTGCATCTTCAAAACATTACGACCATTCATACTATAGAACTTAGCGGAACTGCAATGCATTTTTATTCTGTTTTAATTATTTTAAATTTCAAGGAACCAAAATGAAATTAAAAATTCAAAATACATGGTAATTTTGGTTTTAAGTAAACAAAGTTTAAGCTTTTATCAACTGAAAATTAAGAATTTATATTAGCCGGGCCCTGGTGGCTTACACCTGTAATCCTAGCTACTCAAGAGGCTGAGATCTGAGGATCGTGGCTTGAAGCCCACCTAGGCAGGAAAGTCCTTGAGATCCTTACCTCCAATTAACCACCAAAAAACCAGAAGGGGAGCTGTAGCTCAAAGTGGTAGAGCGCTAGCCTTGAGCGCAAAAGGTCAGGGATATCACCCATGCCCCAATTCAAGGCCCATGACTATCACCAACAACAACAAAAAAGAATTTAAATTGCTAGCTGAGCACTGGTGGCTCATACCTGCAATCTTAGCTACTTAGGAAGCTGAGATCTGAGGACTGAAGTTTAAAGCCAGCCCGAGCAGGAAAAAGTCCATGAGACTTTAACCACCCAAAGGCTGGAAGTGGTGCTGCACTTCAAACTTCAAGTGGTAGACCACTAGCCTTGAAGAAAAGAAAAAAAAGCAGCTCAGGGATAGCTCCTAGGTACTGAATTAAGCCCCAGGACCAATACAAAGAAAAAATTTTAATTGCTCATCTTTTTAACAAGCTAATGTTTAGAAAAGGTAGAAACCCTATTAGCCTAGAGACTCTATAATTTTTAAATGTTGTCTACAACTATTTCTACAGATTCAAAATATCCTCCTAAATGTTACCCCCAAGAACATTACAAAACTAACTCAGAAAGCAGCTTGATTGTCAGTAGTATCACTTTCCACCTTTTTTACCCACATGGATGTTGAAAGATATGGTAGGAGATAAGGATTCATATCATTTCTAACTTCTTGATAACAAACTCTGAAAATACTTAAAGAAATTCCATGTTATATTTAAAATTAGGGCTCTATTAATAACCAACAAGCTAAGGTGCCTTCTATATAACAATTCACAAAGGTTAAGAGAACTCTAAGGGGGTTCAACAGTTCAGTTAGAACATGAACCTGCTCACTATCATAAGCCCGAAACTGCTACACTAAATATTTCAAAATTAGAGCTGTGCTGGATTAAAAGAAAACCTACCAAAATAATTTAGACAGAGAAGAGAGATCAATCAATTTAGGTCTTTAGGATCATTTTACAGCCTAAAATTTCAGAAAGCAATTGAAAAGGGGAATAGTTATTGTTTAGCATATTGCAGTGTCCATTTCAATATTAATCAGCCTAGCCGTCAGTCTAAAATTCAGCTACTAGTAACATCATTTCTTCAGTAGTTATCACTTACAGAAAGAATTCCGATTTTTACGGAAGGAGAAAAACAGAGGCAAATCAAACTGAGAAAAGATTTGGGCCAATTCTTATACCCTTGAGTTACTAATGAGTGGAAACAGAACAAAACCTAATAAAGGCACTATTGTAAACAGCAATTGAACTTTGTGTGCACACTCACTTCCATACAGATTTCCATCTGGAATTGAAAATTATGCTATGGCCTTTTAGAAAAAGTAAACTAAGAAATATTGACATTAAGGGAACTGAATTACGATCCCTACACATGTACACACACTGATATAATAAACTACTTGTCAGTACTTTGAAATCTCTAAAATTGTAGAAATACTAGTCTTTGAAAAATCCCACCATAAAGTTTAAATGGTCAAAACACTTATTTAAACCAATGGTTCTTAAACCAAAATGTGTACCAGAATAATCTGACACTGGTTAAAACAAAACACAATTATGCTGCCACTCTTGTGGTTTGATTGGTCTGAAGTAGAACCAATAGCATGCATTTCTAACAAGTTGTTGAGTGATGCTGAAGCTGCAGGTCCTGGGACCACTCTCTTAGAACCACTGGTTTAAACTGTTAAAGGTACACCAGCAAAACCCTAACCAAAATTTTGGCCAAGATGCATGTAAACTAATAAAGATAGAATAATGCTTGGAAAGAATGCTCATAGAATCATTCTTATTACATCAGAACGTCAACATCTGCTTCATGGTCTTCCTCTGTCACTTTCAAGGACAGCACTTCTTCATTAAGGAAAAGCCCACTGAGCCTCTCCTTCCGGGCCTGCCTCTGCTCCTTCAGTTGCCTTTTGCGGAAGGCCTTCTGCTGTAACTTCCGCTGCTTGGATCTCTTCTGTCAAAGTAAAAAGTTTTAGATTAGTAAGGTTTAGTTCTTGGACCCAATGTGTTTTGTAGATCAAATTCTCTATTTTCTGAATGGTAAGACTTATGAAAATTTCCCTGAAGTACTATTCTTATAACAATTGAAGTGAGATATGGCTTAGAACTGCAAATGATATTTTAAGATTCTACTTTCATGCTGTTTGACTAGGCAGGGTTGATTCTTGATCATTTGCCCTCATATAGGTAACGAGACACTTTGAAAACTTAGTGTACTGTAGTACACATTGGTATCAATTCATGGCAAATTCAAAATTAATACGGCGGGGGAGGGGGCAATACTGAATATAAAATGAAGGGAACATTGACCCAATCTCTTCACCTTATACTTCTCACTTTTTTTAAAAAGGGCTAGCCATTTTACAAGTACTGGGAAAGGATGATGCCTTTCTCATAACAGCAAATACCATCTTAAAAGGCCATTAGAGGAAGCAGTGTGGCTCAAGTGGTAGAGTGCTAGCCTTCAGCTGAAGAGCTGAAGGACAGCTCCCAGGCCCAGAGTTCAAGCCCCACGACTGACCAAAAAAAAAAAAAAAGGCCAAAAATAAAAGGCCATTAGAATCCTAGTGGATACTCCAGGCTTTGTTACTGAATAGATGGAAAAATAGAACGATTACATTTCCACAAAGATAGCTTGGTAACTCACAAAGCCTGCTGTTCCTGGTACTTTGATTTAAGAGCCAGGGAAGAGTTTATTGTGTATCCTCAAGTGACCATTAGTTTCCCAAAGAGGGTTCCCTTTCATCTTTAAATTGGTTCCAGATTCTATGCAACTGCAAAGGACCTAACTCCTCTGCTTAGCCATGTACATATACACTAACACCTTTTTGTTTTTTTTTAAGTATACAAGGATATCACAGAGGATTTTTTTTCCAATTTTGAAAGTCAAACAAATTACAGAAATCATTATTACATTTAAAAATTACCTAAGAAGAAAATGGTCAAGATTAAAACATAAAGAAGACATTTAACAAGTACACAAAAGACATACACAACATTCTTAGGAGCAAATAGACAGCAACATCAGCAACATAGTGAGATTCGCTCAATTATGAGTTGCAGTCAATAAAGCAATTTTGAAGATTACTCATTATTTCCATCAATATCTTACTTAAAACAGACATAAAATCAGGAAAAATTGAAATTGATAGATGTGGGTCAAAAAAAAGTACTTGAAAGCACTCAATCTAGAGTGCTTTGTTCAACAGTAGAGCATCCAATTCAATTAAAACCAAAACCCACAGGCATCTAGATAGCAGGGAAAATTTCACTCTTGAAGAGATTTAAATCAAAGAGTACTAATATTAGTATTGAAAGATAGAGTTTTGTATTGATTAGGCATTTTACTTTTGAATCCCGAATCCGCTCTGCTGCACTTGCAGACAGGTTGCTGTCACTGTGTGCTCGACTCATGTTGGCACTGGAGTTTGAAGCAGAGTTTCCAACACTGGACCCACTGCTGCTTGCAGAACTGACCATGCTGGCACTGCTGCTGCTGGCACTGGCACTGGCACCGCTTACTCCACTGGTGCTTGCACAACTAAAGTTGCTTCTCTTCCAGGCCTCTCTTGCAGGCCGTTGACGAGGACTATGCTCCTTGATATAGTTTCTGACCTTCAGATACAAATAAAACTGGTTAGTGCTGTACCGTGATGTTCTATCCTCAAGATGCTGGAGGAAAAAAAAAATCATATTGTCCTTAATCCAAAAGATTGTCTAAATTCTGCAGATACAGAAGTTAAAATATAAGGACACAGGGGCTGGGAAGGTGGCTCAGTGGTAGAGCGCTTGCCTTGCATGCCTGAGGCCCTGGGTTCGATTCCTCAGCACCACATAAGCAAAAAAAAAAAAAAAGCCGGAAGTGGCGCTATGGCTCAAGTGGTAGAGCGCTAGCCTTGAGCTGAAGAGCTGAGGGACAGCACCCAGGCCCAGAATTCAGGCCCCACGACCGGACCCCCCCCCCCCAAAAAAAATATAAGGACACAAGAAATCTCTGAATTTGAGTCAGGCACCAATGACCTATACCTGTCATTCTAGCTATTCAGGAAGTTGAGATCCTCAGAAAGTTTTATTGCTAATTAATCACCAAAAAGCCAGAAGTGCAACTGTGGCTCTAGTGACAGAGCACTGGCCTTGAGAGATAAGGCTCAGGAACAGCATCCACGTCCCGAGTTCCAGCCTCAAGACTAGAAACAAAAAAATAAAAATAAAATAAAATAAAGGAAGATGCACCTATTTATTGCACCTTGGTGATCCTGTCCTAAGAATATTCTCCTTTGGTCTCATTCTGTGTGAATGCCTAGCAACCTGTATAATTTATCATGCCGTATTGTATTTTTTTTTTTTTTTTACCATCTAGTGTGTTTACTTGAAGATTTATAGGCACATTCTAGTTACTACAAATGAGGGAATAATATTTACTGAAATGCACTCCAAGAAATGAAAACAAGGTTTTTTACTATTCTTTGTTGCTATTTTTGTTTTATTTTGCTCTTATTTAGGTGTCTTTGAGCAGGTAAGGGGGAACACAGAAATGAAGGGACTGAGGGAGAACAAATGAGCAGTGGTGCTCACTGCACACTATGTTAAAAATGAACTATACAACTTGTGGATGGGGATGGGAGGGAAAAACTGGAAGAAAGCAAAGGAAGGGGTGACATTGTCCTGACCTATATAACTGCAATCCCTTCTGTAGATCACCTTTACAAAAACGATTTTAAAATGCCAAAAGAGGAAGAAATTGTGAAATTTAGAAAGTTATCTCAAAAAGGAAGAAATCACAGAATTCAGAAACAGTTAATCTCAAAACTGATAATGTTCACAACTCTAGAAAACACCATGGGGATGTGGATATTAAAATCATTACAAATTGTGATCAGTGGTGGATGGAAGGCTATTAGCTTTCAGAATTTAGGACTTACAGAAACTGAAACAATTCAATCGATGAAAAGAAGCATTTGGTAAAGATCTTTACTAATGATGACTTAATTATTGATGGTATCTATGATTATGGTGTTATTTTGCTAAATTTCAGCAGAGGCTAATGGTATTAGTCTGAAATGCTAGACCTCAATTTACCATACTAATTAAAATGGCTGGAGTGTGGGAAAGTCTGTATCTGTTGGGAGAAATACTATAAATTTCCATAAATTTAAGTGCAAAACAAACCTAAAGTAGAAAATAGCTAGGAGTGTGCCTCAGCAGTCGAAAGCTTGCCTAGCAAGCATGAGACCATGAGCTCAAACCTAGTACAATCAAAAAGCATTTTTGAAAGTAGAAGCCAAATATCAAGGAAAAACACAACAAAACTCTATTTGAAAAGTAACAAAAATGCTCACTTCAGAATAGCTAAGAGAAAATTCATTAGGCCTCACTCTAGTCAAAATTTAATTACTCTGTAACTATTCAAATCTCCCAGCTCGAATGTTTACCAAAGTATAATTCTTGTGCACAGCCGTTAGTTAGTGCTTTGGTTTTTTTCAATACATCTCTTGTATGCTTAACAATCCCTTAAATGATGCATTAAGCTGTAAAGTCTATACAACTGAGGAGCAAGTTCTAGATTCACATTAACCAGAAAGGTACTTTCAGGTGAGATGGCCATAACAGTTTTAAAACCATGAGGTTCTCAAATGTTACCACCAATTTACTTTTTCTTCACAGGACTAGTAATCAAGCCCAGGGAACCGTATATGCTAGGCTGTATCACTAAACTACATTCCCAGCCCTAGCATTCGTTTTGCTAATTTACATTTCACAACAGTGATTTTGTTCTTAACTTCTAGGTACATATGATTATCCAAGTCTACATTTTATAAGCTGGTAGTATCTTTAATAGCTATATAACATGCATTTACTATACATACCTGCTTCAGTTTTTCATCTGTGAGACAGTTAAGTTCAATAATAAACTCACTGTCTGTAGGTGAAATTTGAGCAGAAGGATCAATGATTTTAATAATATCAAGTTGCTCTCGGAGGCCCATCTCAGTACTGACTTTCCGACTCAAATACTCAATATATTCCACCTATATGATTAAAAATTACAAAAATCATCAAGCTTAAATCTGTGATCCTTTAATATTTCAGTACAATGTTTTCTATATATCAGAAGCTGATATGTAAATATTTGTATTATCTACACTGGTTCTCTAAGAACTAGTTAATGCTCAAATTTAGATTTTCTGAAGAATTTTTTGAGTAGCTGTAAAGTAGGTAATAAAATCAACTTCACATGCTCTCCACACATATGTGAATATCAACATAAGAATATCAACATGTTTGCATTATACTCATAAATTGGCATGTTGTATAAAAAACCTTTATACAAGTAAAAATATTTTTTATATAAAAGAGTATCAATATGTTACCTGCTCATCATTTGTCATTGCACTCCAAGGAAGTTCATCTAAATTCCTGTGCTTGTTTTTCTTCTTAGGAAGCAGGCAAGGTGAACTTGGAATACTGGGTATGACGTCAGAAAGTACATCACTCCCACTGGTGATGTCACTGCCTGGCAACTTTATATAAATAAAAAGAATTTTACATATAAATTTAAAGTTACTTTAACCAGTCATGGTGGCGATGACCTATATCACAGCAATGGGATGTCGGGGCAAGAACATACTCAGTTCAAGACTAGCTTGGGTTACATAGTGAGGTCCAGATCAGCTTGAACTATACAAGACCTGGTATCAAAAAATAAACACATTACTTTAATATAAGAGTAATAGAAAACACTGAATTAGAGGACATTAATTCTGATCTACACATACTTTACACAAAGCAGCAATATCAACATCAATATATTCTTTGAATATATTGAGTTATTCAACGTTTTCCAAAAGTTTAAAATTGTTAAAATTGTATCCAAAACTTGACAAAATGTTGATTTAATAGTCATCATTAAGGTTTTTAAATTATATGTGCCCATATTACAGAAAGCTCACATAGCATAATGAGGAAGTAGTACCATTCTTTACCTCAGGAACTCTAAGTAAGCTGTCACTAACTGGCTTTTTTCCAGACATTGTGCTAGACATATTTTCAATGTAAAGACAGATAATACATGGTTCTTGTCCTCAAGTCTGTATTAACAATGTCAAAGCAATTAATTTAAAATATGCTGTTGGTATAAAGCAAAACACTTTAAAGACTACAATTATTAGCCAGGTGCCAGTGGCTCACGCCTGTAATCCTAGCTATGCAGGGGGGGTGAGATCTGAGGATCCCAGTTCAAAGCCAGCCCGGACAGGAAAACTCCATGAGATTCTTATTTCCAATAAACCACCAGAAAACCGGAAGGGGCGCTGTGGCTCAAGTGCTAGAGGGATAGTACCCAGGCCCGGAGTTCAAGCCCCACGACTGACAAAAAAAAAAAAAAAGACTACAAGTAGTATAAAATAAAATTAGAAAATAGACTAAAGTAGAAATAAAAACAAGCCTAAACACAGAATATCAGCTTAAAGACAAACAGAAAAATATTTATTGCATACTGAAAGTGTGCATACTTGACAAATGAAAACCTGTAAATATTTAATATACATTTGAATGAATTTGGACATATATACATACCTGAAAAACAATATGTGTTAAGTGTATACATCAGGTTCAAAAGCCAGAATAAATTTAACTTATATAAATATATTTAAGATATCCAGCTAAAAGACAAAACCTCTTCGAAAACAGCATCTTACTATTTTCAAACATAATGCATTCATGGTTACAAGACAAAAAACAACACCTTTTTATTGTTTTTTTGGTTTAAAACTATAATGTGAACTTTGGCACCAGCTATTTCTATTTCAAGGGTCTTTGCTTTGGGCCCTTTAAAAGGTAGAATAAAAACTCAAGAAAGTTACATTTTGCTAAAGTGGCTAAGTAAAGCATTACAAGGTAGCATTTCAGAATGGCAGAGGTAAAAGGAGTTTGGCTATGTCTCTAATCCTACCTACTCAGGAGGCTGAGATCTCAGGATGGAAGTTTGAAGCTAGCCAGGGCAGGAAAGTCCTTGAGACTCTCATCTGCAATTAACCAGCAAAAGCTGTAAATAGAGGTATGTCTCAAGTGGTAGGCATCAACCTTGAGTATAAAAAGCTCATGGACAGTACCCAGGCCCTGAGTCCAAGCCCTTGTGCCAGCACACAAGAAAGAGAGAGAGGGAAGAAGGAAAAGGCAATCAAGTAAGAATAATTTAATGAAATCATTTTAAAAAATAGAGCAAGATGAAAAAATATAAAACAGAAAAATAGTGCTAGGGATTGATAGCTCAACAGAAGAACCAGAAGCTGCCTCATGACTTGTAGAAGAGTAGGGCTTTGGTCTCTAACAGTTTCTAAGTACCAAACTGTGTAAGGAAACAACTGGTTAAAAAGCAGTATAAGGGTTGGGCAATGGTGGCTGACACCTGAATTCCTAGCTACTCAGGAGGCTGAGATCTGAGGATCTTGGTTCAAAGCCAGCCCAGGCAGGAAAGCCCATAAAACTCTTATCTTCAATGAACCAGCAGAAAACCAGAAGTGGCGCTGTGGCTCAAGGGGTAGAGTGCTAGCCTTGAGCTGAAGAGCTGAGTGACAGCACCCAGGCCCAGAGTTCAGGCCCCACAACCAACAAAAAAAATGTATACACTAATAAAATAAATATTAGCTAAATTTGCCAAGCAATAGGTTATTACTGATCAGGGCATTTTACTTCAATTATTTCATATTACTCTCTCACAATAACTCAAGGTACTCTTATAAATCTCTCTTTTCACAAGTAAGGAAATTTTAGCAGAAAGGCTAGGCAAGTTGTCCAAAGTCTACAGCTACTAAGCATTGCAGATGAGGTTCAAGAGGTTCTGCTCTAAACCACCATGCATACTTCCCTTCTACATCACAGCAAGCCCCATCTCTTCCAAAAAGCATCTCTGAAGAATACTGGTTTCTCTTTTTTATATTTTATTTTTATCGAAAATGTGATTGAGCATGGGGGTTACAGTTGCATAAGGTAATGAGTACATTTGTTTTTAATCATTGTTACCCCATCCCTCATTGCCTCCCACTTACCCCTCTCTATTCTCCTCCCTGCCCCTGAATGTTGTAATGTTCATATCCAGCATAGTGTCAAGTGAGTATCTATATTGCTTTAGTTCATCCTTTGTCCTGCTGTTTCTGTGATTCCCTTTCCCTTCCACATATTGAACAATCTTATATACAAGAGGAACAGTGGGGAAAAAAAAACTACATACAAGGCCTAAGAACCTCTTGTTTCCATATATTGGAGTTCATGTTGATCGCTTCATTATATATGATCCTATGCACTAAGCAGTTGGGTTATTGAGATCTCTTGTTAAGAATATTGTAGACATATTCTAGTTCTTACAAATGAGGGAAATCATGCATCCTGCTTTTCTTTGGGTGGCTTCTATTACTTCTCTGACATAATGGATAGTTCTTGCAATTAGTTACAAAATTCTTTTTTTCTGCATTCCTATTGACTCTCTAGATTCTTTCCATTAAAAAGATGTGTCCAGGGCTGGGAATGTGGCTTAGTGGTAGATTGCTTGCCTAGCATGCATGAAATCCTGGGTTTGATTCCTCAGTACCACATAAATAGAAAAATCCAGAAGTAGTGCTGTGGCTCAAGTGGGAGAGTGCTAACCTTGAGCAAAAGAGGCTAGGGACAGTGCCCAGGCCTTGAGTTCAACCCCCAGGATGCCCCCCCCCCAAAAAAACCAGATGTGTCCAGAGGGAGGGAAGGTGGGAGGAAGGGAAGGAAGAATTCAAGATGTGGAGACTATAGTGATAAAGGAAGCAAGCATAAATAGTCTTTGAATATACAATAGACATTTTTCCTATACTATAAATTGTCACACAGCTAAATCTGTATTTTTCCTGTAGAAACACTGTAATTGGAAGCAGCGGTAGATAATAGGTTACTATTAAATAATAAGGTCACCTAAGTGCTGATGTCAAATAGTCAACTGCAGGATGAGAGTAGCAGCTGTAGAAGAGAATTAATTGCATGGTCTCCTGTATATTTTCTAGACCAGCAATTTTCTACTTCGTAACTGATAGTATATTTCAGAATAAAAATGTTTAATGAGTCCCATCCTGTATTTTTCATGGGCAATATATGGTATATTTATATTATAATCAGTAATTGTGACACATAGAGAGAATTAAATCAAATTTCTGCCATATTTTCTGCAGGATGCAGCAGAATTTTATGAGTAACAGCTGATGTGTAATTTCAGATTGCGCCTATAGGCTTCAAATAAGACAGCAAATTATTCACTTTAGATTTTATAAGTTTTCTTGCTGAACAAATCGAAATAATTTCTCAGGCTAAAGACTAGTCAAATATATCTATCATGAAGGGACTAGTAGAAAAGAAAACTGTCAGTAAAACTGAAGCTTTGATGTTACTCCAAATGTTAAGATACAACTTCATTCTAAGGTTAAAATACTGCCTTATCAAGTAGTTAAGAATTTCTCATCCCAGAGAATCTGTAAGATATTAATATTTACTTTAGTAGCAATAGAAACATCTGTTAAAAAAGATTTAAACAGACGGTAGTTTTTAGCCACAACAAAGTTAATATGAACTTTAAAACTATAGTGAGTTTTACTCTGTATTAATTCTAACATGTAATTTGTAATTATCCTCTTGGATAATTCACTGCTCATTATTTTGAGCTCCGACAAAGACGAGACAGCATTTTCAACCGCCCTGCATATTTAAATGGTAAATATCCATGGAAACTGAGTACCCAGACTCCCATTTCAGGAGTAGGAAAACACATTAATAAGGCAGGCCTCCTATCTGTTCCAACATTGTAATCACTCATGCACATTAACAGTGAGCGGCTGGGTATGTTTTTCTACTCTAACCACTCATGAAATTAGTGAAGAAATCAGTTATTAAAAATTTCAAATGTGTGCCACCTTGAAACATTAGGAATGATAATAACTCCAAATAAATCACATGATTAAAAATTACTGCTAATTTTTTTCTGTCAGTTGTGAGGCTTGAACTTGAGGCCTGGGCACTGTCCCTCAGCTCTTCAGCTCAAGGCAAGCACTCTACCACTTGAACCACAGCACCACTTCCAGTTTTCTGGTGGTTAATTGGACATAAGAGTCTCATGGACTTTCCTGCACAGGCTGGCTTTGAACTGCAATCCTCAGATCTCAGGCTCCTGAGTAGCTAGGAATTCAGGCTCATAAGTCACTGGCACCTCGCACTGCCAGAGGGAAAAAAAAAGGGAACAGTCTATTCACTGATGACATTAACTCAAACATAGAAAATTCTAAAGAACCTGGCCCGCGCGGGCGGGCGGGGGGGGGGGGGCAATTAAGATTAACAAATAAATTCAGTAAAATTATAGGTACTGGTGCCAGTATCTCAAACCTGTAATCTCAGCTACTCAGGAAGCTGAGATCTGAGGATCACAGTTCAAAGCCTACAGGGGCAAGAAAATCTATGAGACTCTACAACCACCAGAAAACCAGAAGTGGCACTGTGACTCAAAGTGGTAGACTATTAGCCTCTTGAGCAAGAGCTCAAAGACAGTACTCAGGCCCTGAGTTCAAGCCACACAGCTGACAAAAATGTATAGAGCTAAACAGTAGATGAAGGAGGAGCCTATCTGCACATGTAAATATACTTGTAACTTAACTCTTAACAGTGGTACACACAATTGAGTAGAACTTTCTTCAATGACACATGTCAGGTTCAAACTTATCCTCCTGCCTCAGCCTCCCAAGTGCTGAGTATACAGATAAAAATATTTTAATAAAAAAAATGTTTGACTAATCTTTTGGAATACAACTAAGTATTTAAATGGCCTTCAAACATAGCAAGCATTCAAATTTATCGGTTGAATAAAACATTTAGTGATGCAAAGTAAGTTACTTTAAATGTTAATGCATTTTAAAATCAGAAAATGGATGCTGCAATAAAATAATCAGCATTTTCTGGTAAGAGTACACTTATTATAAGGCAGCATTTCCAAACAATTTGCCAGGAGGCCATGTTATGTGTTATGTGTACCACAAAAAGAAAAAACTGTCAGGCAAAAAGTATCTCTATGTAGAAAATATAAAATGACAAGTTATTTTACATTTCTGATAACAGAACCAAATTTATGCATTTATGACCATAATGATTTATGGTATTACATACAATAGCATAACCCTCATATGAGGCTATTTGTTATAAAGCAGGGAAAAAATTGTGTGGATTCATGAATAAAAAAGTACTGATTACTTTGTGAAAACAAAGGAGGAGGTAACAATGCTTGCTATGAAATGTACTCACTACCCTACTCATGTAACTGTAACCCCTCTGTACAACATTTTCAATAAATATATAAAAAAATTAAAATAAAAAAGTATTGATTACTTTGCAGATGAAAACCTGTAAAAGGTTGCCTATAACATCAGAAGGCTAAAAGGTAAAGAATATAAATCATCCAATTTTGAAGTTCAAAGTGTGTCAAAAATCTCCAGTTCTGGAAGTACCTTAAATATTTTTGAGGTAGAGATGAAAATATTAAAAGTGAAATTTGTATTTCTATATATGTAGTAATGATGTCAATAAAAATTTTAAAACCCACCTGCCATTCAAACTCACTATCAGACCAATCCCAGTAGGTGCTAATAGAAGAAGAGACATCACTGCAGACACTCCCTTCAGGAAATAAATCAAAAGAGGTAAAGTCTTGATCATCTAACAGGGAGTAGCAATCATCTTGATCTCCGACAGAAACAGATGAAAACAGCTCCTCACTGCATTCTGAGCTGGCAACGCTTGTTCCACAAGAAGTTAGGTTCCACCTTCAAAAACAAAATACAAAAGAAATCACAACAGGAACTAGAGAGATATGAACTTGTTAATATCAACAGGACATATTTATGATAGGATAAATGTGTTTTTAGGTATAATGGTAGTATGGGGCTTGGGGAGGAGGGTGGTTTTCTGTTTGCCAGTCCTGGGGCTTGAAATCTGGGCTTGGGCACTGTCCCTGAGCTTCTTTTGCTCAAAGATAACACTCTACTACTTGTGACACAGTGCCACTTCTGGCATTTTTAAGTAGTTTATTAAAGATAAGAGTCTCACAGATTTTCCTGCCTAGGCTGGCTTCAAACTGTGATCCTCACATCTCTCTCTGCCTCCTGAGTAACTAGGATTACAGAGGTACGCCACCCAGCAGTGTGGGGTTTTATTAAAGCTTTTACTTTGGGGCCTGGGCACAGCTGAAGAGGTAGAGTGCCTGACAAACATGAGGCCTTAAGTTTAAGCCCCAGTACCACCAAAAAAGAAAACCTGTAACAAATATACTAAGATATTTATGGATAAAATAAGCCTCTGTGATTCACCTTGAAATAATAAGGAAGAGTCTGGAGAATGGTTATATAATACTGTATGTAAATCATTGTTAAAGGCCTCATTACACTATTTTCTTAGGTGTCTGAAATTTGAATAATATTGAAAAGGGATATACAAACTAAGAATAAAGTAAACCTTTCATCCATAAATAAAATGTATAGCACAGTAGTTATGAGTAAGCTGTAGAGTCACACCAAGTTAAAATTCTTGCTCTGTCATTTGCTAGCTATTTGATCTTTAGCAAATCACAAGCTCTCCAAGTCTATGTTCCCATATTTAAAAGGGATTTACTGTGAGGATTATGAGAATGCAAACAAAGAACTTAGCACACATAAAAGTGCTCAATACATGGGACCAATTACTATTATTAAATGAAAGGATGAGAGGAACCATTCAGAGCAAAGAAAAGCACCAACAAAATACATAAATAGAAATCTAACGAAGTGGCTCTTGTATACACACTAATGTCTTACAAGGTCATAGCTGTGATATTACATGAAGAAAAGAGTGCACTAATAATGGGCACTGGTGGCTCACACTTATAATCCTAGCAACTCAAGATCCTGAGATCTGAGGATCATCATTTGGACTCAGTCTGGGCAGGAAAGTTCGTGAGATTCTTCTAACTCGAATTAACCACAACAAAGCAGAAGTGGAGGTGTGGCTCAAGTGGCTGAGTGCCAAACATTAACAGAAAAAAAGCCCCAGTACTGACACACGTGTACATGAGTACACATGCACATACACACAGGTTAACTATTTGGGAGATATATATGGGATGATTGAGAAAATGGGAACATTTCAGTTGGAGGGTAACCTAGGCAAAAAGTGAGACCCTATCTCAAAAAAAAAACCCCAAAACTAAGTGTGGTGTTTCATATTAGTGAATAGTTTAACATCAGGTATTACAGAGACAGAGTGAGACAATCACAGTCCTTGGCTGACCTATACCAGAAAAAATAGAGACCCAGTCTGAAAAACAAAGACAAAAAATGGGGTTGGGGAATAACTCTAGAGGTAATGCCTGCCTAGCAAGCATGAAATTCTGAATTTAAACAGCAGTACCCCAATGTTGAAATTTTAAAAAGGACTGAAGATTAAAATGACCAATAATTTTATTATAGCTAACACATAATAGCTTGGTGCTTTTAGTATTCTGCTTTTTTCTCTTATATGCTGAATATTTTCATTGCTAAGTTGCATATCCTTTATATGACTTGGACTAAATATGTTTCACATTTTGGATTCTTTTTGATTTTGAAGTATCTGTGTATACATAATGAGGTATACTGTTGATGAAAACTAAGTCTAAATACAGTATTTATTATGTTTCACATGTACCTTATACACATAGCCTAAAGATAATTTTATACATTTTATAGGCTATTTTTTTATTTTTTATTTTTTTTATCTTTTATTTATTTATTTATTTATTGGGTCCAGTCGTGGGGCCTGAATTCTGGGCCTGGGTGCTGTCCCTCAGCTCTTCAGGCTCAAGGCTAGCGCTCTACCACTTGAGCCATAGCACCACTTCCGGCTTTTTTCTTTTTGCTTATGTGGTGCTGGGGAATCGAACCCAGGGCCTTAGGCATGCAAGGCAAGCGGCTCTACCACTGAGCCACCTTCCCAGCCCCTTTACAGGCTATTTTTAATGCACCTATTATTCTGACTCCAAATTAATATATGAAAACATGGTAGAATTCAAATGGCTTAGAATTTGGATTTTTGTCCTATAGATGGCTCAACCTACATATTACTTGGAAACATTTCAGTATCTGTATTATATTTCATTTATTGAATATATCATTTTGTTTACTTTATTCCCCTAATGATAGATACCTACTTAAAGGTAATTAACCAAAGAATATATATATATATATATATATATTTCTAAGGGTCCTAGCACATTTACCCAAGTAACTTTCTGAAAAACTGCACCAATTTCACGTTCCCCAGCCAACATACCAAAAAAAATTCATCTCATCACAACCTCCTAGTCACTAATATTCTTTTTTCTTGGGGGGGGGGGGTCAGTTGTGAGGCTTGAACCCAGGGCCTGTGCAATGGCCCTGAGCTCTTTTTGCTTAAGACAAGCACTCTACCACTCTAAGCCACAGTCCCACTTCTGGTTTATTAGTGGTTAATTGGAGATGAGTCTCACAGACTTTCCTTCCTGTGCTTAGAACTTCAATTCTCACCTCTCAGCCTCTTGAGTAGCTAGGATTACAGGTGTGAGCCACCAATGCCTGGCATAAAATTCTTATTTTTTTTACTTATTCCTAGGGCAGAAACATGCATATAACTTATTTTATATAATTTTTTATTAATGCAAAGATCAAAATTTTAAATATTTATTAACCAGGCAAGGCATGGCAGTAAATACCTAAAGTCCCAGTATTCTGGATGCAGAGGCAGGAGGATCTCATAATCTGAGACCCAGTCTGGGCAAGATTCTGTCTCAAAATAAATAAAATATGTACTATTTTTGCTATGGTGTTTATCTATGTATTAATATTTCATTAATGACTATTAAGTTCCTCATTCTATATTTTGTTTGTAGAACTTATGACAGATTTTTAGAACCTTTTTGTCTTGAAATATATCCATCTGTTTTCTTTTGTATGTTTTCACTAATGAGATACTATTAATGAGATAATCTTCATCAGTTTGCCAGTAGCATAAGGATTTAATCTTAGAGATAATGGATTTAGTGTTTCCAATACCAATAAGCTGCTGAAATAATGACTTCCAGAAAATAAGCCTGTTATTTACCTATTATTAGATTTTTCCTCATCTTTTGTTAAACAGTATTTTCTTGAATTATGTACATTTAAAAACTTCCTTCTTTACTAGAAAAATACTATGGTATTTCTTCAAGTCTTTACATGCCACCAATTGTCTTAGTGGGCTTTTACCAAAAAATTTAAGTGCAACTCTTTTAAACTGATGTGACATTTTTAAGCCAATGTCAGCTCAGCATTAAATCATTCAAGTTTACAGGCCCTTACATCCCATTACACTATGAGAAAACTACCTAACATTAGAATTCTAGCAACAAGTATAACATTTTCTAAGTACAACTTTCTCCAAAACTTGAAAAGAAAAACGCTGATACGAACCCTAATGATATGGTATTTAACTTAATAACTTGATTTACTCATTCCACCCTCTGTGTATTCCCAACTTTTTCCTTTCTTGTGGCTTGCTTCCAAGGAGCTAAAATCTTTATTCTAAGAAAAATCAAACAAAGAAAAATATTATCACTACATTCACTGCTAAATTTACTAAATAATCTTAGTCTCTCAACTATTATAACCTATGGTTTCATGCCTATCACACTAGTAGAATTTCTGTTGATTACTCCCAAATTTGTATTATTAATGTGGATGTTTTGCCAAAGCTGCACCCGCCCTCACTACTTGTTTCAAAGTCCCTAAACCAAATTTCTTCCATGTAGCTCTCCCACCAACAACCTATAGCTGCTCTCTATCTCTAATTCTATACCTAGATAGGAAAAATAGGGCTGGGACAAGAGGCACACCAAACAGGCTGGGGCCAGATGTAGCTTATTGGTTAAGGCAAATGCTTGGCATGCCTGAGCTGATCCCAGCACCACAAAACAGACACACAATAGTTTGGGGATTTTTCTAGTTAATGGTGACTGAAATGGGCTTTAAAATCCTACACAAATGACTTATTCTGAGTGTTCAAGTATTCCTAAAGTGTACAAATGGCACACATTTTTTTCAAAATAGTGTAAAGTCAAAGTATTGATGTACTTCTGAAAGATGAAGAGAATACCTCATCTAGTAATTTGTATCAACCTCTTTCATCTCACAATTTAATGATAGGACCTATCAATATCAGAAACTCTAAAACAGAAAAACTCTGTCCCCCAAACCAAATAAAATGTCTTAAACACATGCTTATTTTAACAATGACATTTATTTAAGGTTTAAGTCTATTAATTTTGTACTCTATTTTTCCAAAATTCTAGACAAACCCAATTAGATAATAAACTCCTTATTTTTTTGGAGGAAATAGCATCTTACTTTTTTCCAGGTTGGTCTCCAAGGATCCTCCCACCTGTTTCGTGAGTAGCTGAGACTACAGGTATAGACTACTGCACCTGGAAAATGGAGTTCTAAAAAAAAGGCTGTTTTTATTTCCTACTAAGCCTACAAAAGTGACATGCCAACTTCTGTTACATGCTGACTAATCAGAAAGGTGCATGCATTCAACTTTAGAGGTCATTAGTAATAGTGCCATGACTCTCTTGGTTAGTGACACTGCAAATATAGCCCAGAGTTCATTAAATGAGCAGGCATGAAGTTGTCATTTTCACCAGGCCTGTATAAAGGGCCTTATTAAAACAATCTCCCTATTTTCTTTTTTTTTATTTTTTATTTTTGGGTCCAGTTGTGGGGCCTGAACTCTGGGCCTGGGCGCTGTCCCTCAGCTCTTCAGCTCAAGGCTAGCGCTCTACCACTTGAGCCACAGCGCCACTTCTGGCTTTTTGCTTTTTGCTTATGTGGTGCTGAGGAATCGAACCCAGGGCGTCATGCATGCAAGGCAAGCGCTCTACCACTGAGCCACCTTCCCAGCCCCTCTCCCTATTTTCTTATCCTATAACAAATAAGCAAAATAAAGGTAAAGTTACCTACCCACTGATAAGCTTTCTATACACAATAAAAGTTTTGTAATGAATAAAACCCAAAGCAGAATTTAGTATAAAACTATTTATACTATTTATTTTGGTTTGTTGCTGAATTTTGCAAATTATGTGAAAAAAAACTGACATATTCACCTCTAAAATAAAAGACCACAAATTAAACTGTGCCCACATATGTATTTTCAGTCATTTGCAGCTCCCTGAAAAGAAATGTCTCATAGCATATAGTTCTATCAAAACATTTTGAGTGATAAAGAGGCAGAACATTCTAGGAAAAAAGATTTAAAAAAACAAACAAGGCGGCTTAGGGCAGAAACATCATCTGTTGTAAATATTGCTAATTCTGCTTCTCCTTTCTGCTGAAAAGCATACAGAAAATAAGACCCCCTGTTCCCATTCCAAAGTAGGGTAGAAGACAGAGAGCTTTTTAAAAGCTGACAGTTAAGTAGGAAAAATAATGCTTGACTTGGATAAAGTAGAGCTTAACAGGAACCTCCTCTTACTACCTTCAATGACCCATTCTGGCAAACAGCCTTGACCTTACCAATCTTTAAGGGGAAAACACAAGAAAAACCTCTGGAGGAGAAAGAACAGAACATACTGTAAGTAATACACTATTTTCACTGCTTCACTCTCCATCACCATCCATTTTAGCAATGCTTACCCTTAACCTGTATATTCACTCTGGCCCTCAATCATCACAGCAGGCTAATTCTGAAAACATTTTACTTTCTTGGGTATGGTATTTGTTCTGCTGCTACTACAATACTTAAATATCAAATATCTGCAAAAATAATTTTATATTCTTTTTCTATGTAAATAACTTTAAACACTTCATTTCAGCAATATTACAAGCGTGTTGGTTACACCACCGATTAAACAAGTTTCTGTGAGTTAGTCTATGAAACTACTGTGAGCACTGATAACACTGGATCCATTAGTTCTGATCCAAGATCCATCTCTGGGTCCAAAAGGGTAATCTAGGTTCATTTCTTTTTTTTCCTCCTCTGGGCCTGTTTCTTCATTTTTTTTTTTTTTTTGTCGGTTATGGGGCTTGAACTCTGGGCTTTGGTGCTGTCCCTGTGCTCTTCAGTTCAATACGACCACTCTACCACTTGAGCCACAGCGCCACTTCCTGTTTTCGAGTGGTTTATTGGAGATAAAGAGAATCTCGGACTTTCATGCCCTGGCTGGCTTTAAACCGTGATCTTCAGATCTCAGCCTCCTGAGTAGCTAGGATTACAGGCATGAGCCACCGGCGCCTGGCTTGTTCATTTTTGTAAGGAGGATATAGAGTGCCTGTAAGAAACACATTGCCATCTCCTTTAGAAATGTTATGCTGATGTTCTGAATGTTTAACTATAGTATCTTGTTTCTGAAGACTAGAGTTTTTGTTTAAGAATCCTGATCCTTGTGCTTTGCATAAGACCTAGGTAAATCTAGATTGAGATGAGGGGGAAATAGACAAAAGATTTTAAAATGTGGAAGAATCTGATCAAATTCAGGAAAGTTGTCAAAAATCATAACGACTCTATCTCCAGGATTTCCATAGACGAACTGTGGTCCTAGTCATTTGTCCACACACTAGTCAATGCATTTACATGGCTCTCAAATACCAGGCTGTTTTAAAAGTGAAGGCTATATCTAATGCATCTTCAAATTTCCTTCAACTTTTGCTGTAATACAAGCATGAGAGAATATGTGCAAGAGACAATCGTCCCAAACACTGTCTTCTAATAAAACAAGATAGAAGATGCACTGTCTGATAAATCTTCCAAACAAATGCATCTAAGCCTTGTTCTGCCCCTCCCTCTCTCCGAGTGCACTGGGGGAGCAACCCTGGTGGGTATGTTACAGAAAAGAATGTTTCAGATTTATGTTTATACCTTGTGGGAGAGTTCACAAAAATAAGGCAAACAGTTCAAAAAGGGGGAGGAAAAAGAAGAATGGAATAATTTCCAAGTGCTCTAATTTAAAAAAAAAAAACAACAAAACTGTGGTTGGGGTAGTGGTGAGGAGAGGACTGTAAGAGTAAAATTTGGGGCAAGGGAGTGCTATCTTTAAAAATACTTTCAAACGACCAATAGGTAGATGTTGAGCCCTATGCACTGCGCAAATGGAAGGGGTTAAACTTTTAGAAATGAGTGTAAATAGAAGAGCACCTAAAATTTTAGAGTGCGGGTTTGAGATACTCAGGATACATATTGGGAGGGGGGGGACGGAAAGGGTTGGAGGAAAATGTAGGGAAGGGAAGAAATGAAGATAGAACGCCAGTAGAGTCAGTCCTAAGGAGAATCAGAGTGCAGGGAGGGAGCCAGGGGAAGGATAGTAGTAGAAGGTGGGGGAGGGGACGACCAGAAACTCAGTCCACAGTGACCAAGCCGGAACCGAGCGAGGGCGCGACTCTGTTCCCTGGCACGTTGCAGAGGTGTGCGGAGCCCACCCTGGCCCTTCGAAGCCCTTCGTACCTGTTGGTGTGGAAGCGATGGAGCGGATCGGTGCGGTGGCAGGAGGACAGCTGGCACCCGAAGTCGCTGATGTCCAGACAACCTGGCTCCTCGCTGGAGCAGGCGCCCACGCCACGAGGGGGTCCCAGGAGCGGGAAGGGTTCCTCGGGGGTGAGAAACTTCTCATAGGAAGTAGTGGCCGACGCCTCGTCGGACATGGTTCAAGACAGCCGGGTTTGAGCTCCCTCTCTGGCTTTGGGCTGTTCGCGCGCCTGCCCCTGCCCCCACTCTTAACCTATCCGCGGTCGCCGCTCCCGAGGGCACCCGCGTCAGCTCACAGGCAGGCCGAGCCCGGTAGCTCGCGGCTACGGGAGATATGAGTGGCCGTACCGAAGCTACTCGAGACTAAAACAGCCGGCAGCCACCCAGTCAGCACCTCAGTGGCCTCCGCAGCCGCCGCCGCCGTCGTCGCCACCGCTGCGCTCCAGCCCAGCCCACGAGCTCAGCGCCGCCGCCCGGCCTGGACCCCGCCCACTGCGCTCGCCACTCGCTGCAGCCCGCCTGACGTCGATCTGGAGGGGAAGGACAGTAGGAACCGCTCCCCTCGCCCCCTGCTGGAGCGGAGGAGGAACTGAGCCTTCGCTGCTGCAGACCCGCATGACTTGGCCCTTCTGGCCTCAGCTTGGCCCCGCCTTCTAACCCCCTTGAATCGAGGATTCAACTCTAGGAAGGCCGAGGCCTCTCCCAAACTTGTTCCTCTGTTTTTCCACTACTGCTGGATGACTAAATAGCAAACAGCAGCCCCTTAGAAAAGGGCTTTGCCAGAGTTATACGGCAGGTGCGTGAGAAAAGCATCCACATGCCCTGTTCCCATCACTCTCTGCCAGTTCAACAAGTATTTATTGAGCTCCAGTAGTCTGTGTGCCCAGAACTGTGCAATGAGCAAAAGGAGAAAGCGGTCAAGTAGAAAAAAAATCCCTACTTTGCTCTCTGGTGCCTCAAGGCAGGAACCCTACACTTCAGCCACCCAGCTAATCAGAACTGTGGGACATATACAGCTCTTTTCTACTTGATGTCTTGATGTGAATTATGCACTCTGCTTGGAATTCCCTGGCCAGTTCTCCCCCTCTTATCCTTAAAGCCTCATTCCAAATGCTTCCTCCTCTGGGAAGCCTTCCCCAACTCCCAAAGAAGCTTACACACACCAGATATGACTCCCCACCACCACTGAAACTACATTATGGAACTTAAGTTGTTCAACTTACTAGGTGTCACATACTGTTCTTTCCTCCTACCACTTCTCTTTTCTGTATTCTAGGCAAACACCTCCAGATTTTCAATGTATAACTTTTAAATATATATATTCACAGGAAAACCCAACAATGCCAAATTCTTTACCAAATGAATACAATTTAACAACCCACTACTATTTTATAAAATGAAGCATATATGTTCATATAAAATGAAAAGAATAGTTTGATAAAAAAAAATTCCTTGCATGAAATTCATTTGGCTTTATGGAAAACCTCTTTACATTGATCTAAAGGGAAGCAGAGAACTAAAACAGAGACATGTGGGAGTGAAAGAACTCAGGAGTAAGGGGAGGAAACCGGCAGTAAACAAGCACCCTGTGCTCGCAAGGTTGTTCCACAAGCTATTCTGCTGGACACTGTGCCCTACCAATATAACACACAATGAAACAACTCAACTCCTCAGGGTTGGAAAGGTGGCTCAGTGGTAGAGTGCTTGCCTTGCATGCCTGAGGCCCTGGGTTCGATTCCTCAGCACCACATAAGCAAAAAGAAAAAAGTCGGAAGTGGTGCTGTAGCTCAAGTGGTAGAGCACTAGCCTTGATCTGAAGAGCTGAGGGACAGCGCCCAGGCCCAGAGTTCAGGCCCCAGGACTGGACCCCCCAAACAACAACAACAACTCAGACTCTCCTTAAAATTTTATATATACTAGTTCCTGAGATTAATGGGTTAGTTCCAGGACCCCAAAACCCAGGAAAAATCATGAATGCTCGAAGTCTCTTATATAAAATGGCACAGTATTTTCCTTAAAATTTTATGTACAGTCATCCCTGAGAGAAATGGTTGCTACCAAGACCCCCAAACACAGGGAAATCCATGAATGCTCCAAGTGTCAAATAAAATGGCACGGCATTTGCACAATAGATACACACATCTCATATACTTTATATCAGCTCCTACATTCCTTCAGTGACTGTTACAATATAAATGCCTTGAAAATAGATATTAATCTCCATCCTTTGGGGACATAAGAAGAAAAAAAATCTGTCTATATAAGATACTTTTCCCCCCTCAAATACTTCTTCTTTTTCCCCTCAAATACTTCTTTTTTGTTTTCGTTTTTGTTTTGTTGGTCATGGGGCCTGAACTCTGGGCCTGGGCGCTGTCCCTCAGCTCTTCAACTCAAGGCTAGTGCTCTACCACTTGAGTCACAGTGTCACTTCTGACTTTTTCTGCTTATGTGATGCTGAGGAATCTAACCAAGGGCCTCTGCATGCAAGGCAAAGCTCTCTACCACTGAGCCCACCTTCCCAGCTCCTCAAATACTTCTTAACCATAGTGATTGAATATGAAAAAAAGAAACCTGCGGCTAAGGAGTGTTGGTCGACTTGCTTCAGTTATTTAGTTACCTGATGGGCATGACCATTTCCTTTCATTTCAATTGTAACAAGATAGAGAGCACTGGAAATGAGTCTTTGAAAAACAATCATTAATATCTAATTGGGAATGACCAACTTAAAATTATAGAAGGAGCCAGGTGCTGGTGGCTCATGCCTGTAATCCTAGCTACTTAGGAGGCTGAGATCTAAGGATCACAATTCAGTGCTAGTCTGGGCCGAAAAGTCCCTGTGACACTCATCAACTAACCACTCAAACACCAGAAGTGGCCAGGTGCTGGTAATTTGCCCCTGTAATTCTAGCTACACAAGAGGCTGAGATTTGAGGATCTCCGTTCAAAGACACACCCCAGGGCAGAAAACTCCCAGTGACACACTTATCTCCAATTAACCACTCAAAAACCGGAAGTGATGTTATGCTCAAAGTGGTAGAATGCCAGACCTGAGCAATAGAGATCAGAAACTACACCCGGGTCCTGAGTTCAAGCGCCATGGCCTACCAAAGAAACCCCAAGTAAACAGAAGTGGAGCTGTGGCTCACAGTGGGTAGAGCATTAAGCCTTGAGCAAAAGAGCTCAGGCACAGCACCCAGGCCCTGAGTACCAGCCCCACAAACAGACAAAAACTTTACAGAATTAAAAAATGGTTATGGTATGACCTCCAAATGCATAAATGCCAGGATCCTGGAGCTACTGAGGACCAATGGACCTTGGCTTACTCTAGAAACAAGAAACTGGATTGTTCAAAGAAACAAGAGTCAAGTGCTGAATGACAATGTTAGTGTCTCAGGTTATAGCACCAGAATCTGGTAGTCACAAACTAACAATACAACTTATTTTAAATATACATGCATCTTACACTTTCTCTAAGAAGTAGGTATTTTTCAAGCTAGATAAAATCGTTTAAGAGTTTTCTACAGGAATAGTTTTGCATTTAATTGCAATTATATTCTAGATTATGTGGATGATCACATGATAACTAGCTCCTGCCACATAATTAGAACGTTTATTTGAGTATCATTTCAAAACAGCACAATGTAATATTACTTTAATTGTCCTGAGTTAGTGAGCAAACAAATGAGGTGAGCCCCATACTTCATGGCTTGCTATATAAATGTTGATCCAGTACAGTTCTCACAATTTCTCAGGACCTGAGATAACTCCTGGCCTAAAACAAGCCAATTTCAAATGAATATCAAGGTTGTGCCTAAGCAAACATTTGAAATAGTAACTGAAAGGACTGATAGCCCTGCTACAGTTTCCACAGCCCTGGAAAAAGCACCATCAAAACTCAGATAAATACAAAGATCATGGAGAACTAGGACACTGAGAAATCTCTAGGTGCCTCCCATACTGCACACAATCTCTGACATTTTATATTACTAAGGTTTTTTTCACACAATCTACCAGGGGAAAGACTGACCAACGCTTTTGTTCTAACACTCCCTCCCATACAGTCAGTAGTACTGTAATATCAATTGAACATAACTTAATCAGCTCCCTTTGTTTTTTTTTTTTATTGTGAAAATACCATACAGAGGGGTTACAATTACATGGGCAAGATAACGAGTACATTTCTTATCAAGCATTGTTGCCTCCTCAACTCCCTTTGTTTATAAGATAAAGTAATAAGTCTTTGTCCAAGGGCCTCTGAAAAATTTAAAGATGGTTTTTAGTTGCAAAAGGTATCTTGCAAGTTATTTTATTTCATTTTAGATTTAGGATTCAATTTTTGGAAGGAAAAGGTAACTGGGACATTTATATACAAAAATAGGATAGTTGGCTGCTCATATAAAGTATATTAAACATTTTAAAATAAACATAGAAAATTGTATGGTTATTAAGAACCATAGCTCTGTGGCTCACTGATAGAGCACTTGCCTAGTATGAGTAAGGCCCTGGGTTAGAGCCCCAGTACCACCAAAATAATAGCTCATAAATGAGAAAGTGTTTCTTACCCGGGCACCAGGACCTCATGCCTATACTTCTAACTACACAGGAGGCTGAGATCTGAGGATCTCAGTTTGAAGCCAGCCCAGGCAAGAAAGGCTGTGTGACTGTTATTTCCAATTTACTACCAAAAAGCCAGAAGTAGAACTGTGGCTCAAGTGGTCGAGTCCTAGCCTTGAGTGAAACAAGCTTAAGAATAGGGCCCAGGCCAGTACAAAGAAAAGAGAGAGAGACAGAGAGAGTCAGAGAGAGAGCAAAGTTTTCTTAAATAATCAAGGACACAATAAAATTAAGATAAAGTATAGAAAATTGCACAGGTAAAAGATGGAATCACTTCTATTCAGATTACACAGAATAAGCTTCATTAATGTACATTAAATAAACAGTAAATATGTAGATATATAAAATAAACGCAGCACACTCCAAATCTCCTAGTTCAGGTAAGGAGGCAGATATGTTGGGGAAAAAATGTGGCAGAGATTGCTAGTTGTCCAACACATAGCCCTTCTCCCTGTTCTCTTATAATGACAGAAGCTTGATTAGGCTACGAGTGGACATGTACCCAAACAGAAGAAAAGTGCCTTATCCCAGCATTCTTTTCAAATGGGTTTGTACATAGATGTAAATGTAGGTAAGCTAGAAAAATGATTTAGTTAATGTTGGAGAAAATAAATGAATGAGATGCCAGATATTTTGAAATTTTGATCCTTTCATGTAAATATATTTTTTAAATCTGGTAATTTTCAATCCACATTTTTTCTTTTGGAACATGATTTTTTTTCAGTCTTTTTATTTGTTTTAACATTAGCCGTACATACTAATGGAATACTTCTACAATATTCTAACTAATGCTCCTAATGAGGACCTGCTATGTCTTCTGAATCATATCAGTTATTAAATTTGATATATATCCTAATATATATATATATATATATATATGGCAAGGCCTCACTATGTAGCTCATTCTGTCCTCAAACTCAAGGTCCTCCAGTTTCAGTCTTTTCAATACTGGGATTAAAGGGATTCACCACTACATCAGGCTCAGAGTATATTTTTATTCTTTGCAAATTACTAATCTAGTTAGTCTGTTGGGTTTTTTTTTTTTTAACACTTCTAAGTTAATCAGATCGTTCTTATCAAGTATCCCACTTCAGGCTCATTTTGACTCTCTTCAAAAACAAGAGGATTTGCATTAAATAGAAATAAAACAATAAACAGTTGAATCAATTTAGCATTCGTGCTATTACAGTAAAAGTATCTATTGTTGTAAGGTTAGAAAATGGAGAATCCACACTTTGGGTGTGTGTGTGTGTGTAGGGGTGTGTGTGTGTGTGTGTGTGTGTGTGTGTGTGCTTTCCGTCACAGGGATTGAACTCTGGGCCTGAGTACTGTCCCTGAGTACTGGCACTCTACCAGTTTGAGCTACAGAGCCACTTCTAATTTTGTGGAGGTTAATTGGAAATAAGAATCTCATGGACTTTCCTGCCAGGGCTGACTTTGAACTAAGATCGTTAGATCTCAGCCTCCTGAGTAGCTAGGATTATAGGCATGAGCCACCGGCACTCAGCTAAGAAGCCACATTGTGAAGGATCGAATCTTGGAGTCTTTATTGGAACACTAGCGGTCTGCAGGTGCCAATTGTTACAAAGGCCTGCTGCCCACAAACACACTTAACACGGTTAGGAAACAGGCTAGAGAGGACATAAAGAACAAAAACAATACCAACAAATCAATGGAGAGCTGAAGTAGGATACCATGGTGACCAGAGATGAGACAGGAGACAGGAGATGGGGCATGATCACAGGGGCAGGAGGCATGGAATCCTCATCCCTGAGCTGGTCCAGACATAAATAAGGTCAGGCCAGAGGGCAGGGTCACCTGAAACTCCCAGTCCCAGGCACTGGACTAACAGGTTCGGTAACCTATTGGCCAAGGGCCTGTCTCTGACACCAAGGGTTCAGCTTTGCCTATCACCTGAGAAGGGGTGGAGGCTTCACCTTCCCGCACCATGAATACAAGATCGTGTCTGGGGTGTTTGTCTCTGTGCGTCTAAATGGAAGTCTGTAGGTATGTGCGGTTCTAAGCATGGGATTGAGTGGGAGTGACTTTGTGTGTTCCGAGACGCGGCGTAGGGCAGCGTCACCGCCGGTCGCATTCGGTTGGACGGCTGGCGCACCTGCACACACGTCACTGTGACGCAGCTCCGAGTATGAGGAAGACGAACCATCCGGCGACGCGAGGGGGCGTGACTGCGCTGGAGTAGCGCCTGCCAGCCTCAAAAGGACCCTGCAGCGGTTCTCCTTCGCAAAGAAGGGTACTGTAAGAGATTCTACCAATTGAGGAAAAGCAGTGGAAAGACAGATGGGGTGACACAAGCACAACAAGAAAGCAGAAGAATGAAAAGAGAGGCACCGGCCCTAAAGGAGGCAGGGTAATGCTAACCACAGAGAGGGGGAAAAAGAGCCCTGTGGAGGGGATGTGACTGGGGGGTAGGGGTGGAATGACGATGCGCAATGGAGAGGACAGTTTAGAGGAAGATGAATCCGTGTGCGTGACTGTGGTGAAAACCCTGAAGAGTATAGAGAGGAAGAGCAATAGGCGATGAGTTTATTATTGAACTTAACTGTCTCACAGGTGAAAAACTGAAGCAGGTATGTATAGTAAATGCATGTTATATAGCTATTAAAGATACTACCAACTTATAAAATGTAGACTTGGATAATCATATGTACCTAGAAGTTAAGAACAAAATCACTGTTGTGAAATGTAAATTAGCAAAACGAATGCTAGGGCTGGGAATGTAGTTTAGTGATACAGCCTAGCATATACGGTTCCCTGGGCTTGATTACTAGTCCTGTGAAGAAAAAGTAAATTGGTGGTAACATTTGAGAACCTCATGGTTTTAAAACTGTTATGGCCATCTCACCTGAAAGTACCTTTCTGGTTAATGTGAATCTAGAACTTGCTCCTCAGTTGTATAGACTTTACAGCTTAATGCATCATTTAAGGGATTGTTAAGCATACAAGAGATGTATTGAAAAAAACCAAAGCACTAACTAACGGCTGTGCACAAGAATTATACTTTGGTAAACATTCGAGCTGGGAGATTTGAATAGTTACAGAGTAATTAAATTTTGACTAGAGTGAGGCCTAATGAATTTTCTCTTAGCTATTCTGAAGTGAGCATTTTTGTTACTTTTCAAATAGAGTTTTGTTGTGTTTTTCCTTGATATTTGGCTTCTACTTTCAAAAATGCTTTTTGATTGTACTAGGTTTGAGCTCATGGTCTCATGCTTGCTAGGCAAGCTTTCGACTGCTGAGGCACACTCCTAGCTATTTTCTACTTTAGGTTTGTTTTGCACTTAAATTTATGGAAATTTATAGTATTTCTCCCAACAGATACAGACTTTCCCACACTCCAGCCATTTTAATTAGTATGGTAAATTGAGGTCTAGCATTTCAGACTAATACCATTAGCCTCTGCTGAAATTTAGCAAAATAACACCATAATCATAGATACCATCAATAATTAAGTCATCATTAGTAAAGATCTTTACCAAATGCTTCTTTTCATCGATTGAATTGTTTCAGTTTCTGTAAGTCCTAAATTCTGAAAGCTAATAGCCTTCCATCCACCACTGATCACAATTTGTAATGATTTTAATATCCACATCCCCATGGTGTTTTCTAGAGTTGTGAACATTATCAGTTTTGAGATTAACTGTTTCTGAATTCTGTGATTTCTTCCTTTTTGAGATAACTTTCTAAATTTCACAATTTCTTCCTCTTTTGGCATTTTAAAATCGTTTTTGTAAAGGTGATCTACAGAAGGGATTGCAGTTATATAGGTCAGGACAATGTCACCCCTTCCTTTGCTTTCTTCCAGTTTTTCCCTCCCATCCCCATCCACAAGTTGTATAGTTCATTTTTAACATAGTGTGCAGTGAGCACCACTGCTCATTTGTTCTCCCTCAGTCCCTTCATTTCTGTGTTCCCCCTTACCTGCTCAAAGACACCTAAATAAGAGCAAAATAAAACAAAAATAGCAACAAAGAATAGTAAAAAACCTTGTTTTCATTTCTTGGAGTGCATTTCAGTAAATATTATTCCCTCATTTGTAGTAACTAGAATGTGCCTATAAATCTTCAAGTAAACACACTAGATGGTAAAAAAAAAAAAAAAATACAATACGGCATGATAAATTATACAGGTTGCTAGGCATTCACACAGAATGAGACCAAAGGAGAATATTCTTAGGACAGGATCACCAAGGTGCAATAAATAGGTGCATCTTCCTTTATTTTATTTTATTTTTATTTTTTTGTTTCTAGTCTTGAGGCTGGAACTCGGGACGTGGATGCTGTTCCTGAGCCTTATCTCTCAAGGCCAGTGCTCTGTCACTAGAGCCACAGTTGCACTTCTGGCTTTTTGGTGATTAATTAGCAATAAAACTTTCTGAGGATCTCAACTTCCTGAATAGCTAGAATGACAGGTATAGGTCATTGGTGCCTGACTCAAATTCAGAGATTTCTTGTGTCCTTATATTTTTTTTGGGGGGGGGGGGTCCGGTCGTGGGGCCTGAATTCTGGGCCTGGGTGCTGTCCCTCAGCTCTTCAGCTCAAGGCTAGCGCTCTACCACTTGAGCCATAGCGCCACTTCCGGCTTTTTTTTTTTTTTTGCTTATGTGGTGCTGAGGAATCGAACCCAGGGCCTCAGGCATGCAAGGCAAGCGCTCTACCACTGAGCCACCTTCCCAGCCCCTGTGTCCTTATATTTTAACTTCTGTATCTGCAGAATTTAGACAATCTTTTGGATTAAGGACAATATGATTTTTTTTTTCCTCCAGCATCTTGAGGATAGAACATCACGGTACAGCACTAACCAGTTTTATTTGTATCTGAAGGTCAGAAACTATATCAAGGAGCATAGTCCTCGTCAACGGCCTGCAAGAGAGGCCTGGAAGAGAAGCAACTTTAGTTGTGCAAGCACCAGTGGAGTAAGCGGTGCCAGTGCCAGTGCCAGCAGCAGCAGTGCCAGCATGGTCAGTTCTGCAAGCAGCAGTGGGTCCAGTGTTGGAAACTCTGCTTCAAACTCCAGTGCCAACATGAGTCGAGCACACAGTGACAGCAACCTGTCTGCAAGTGCAGCAGAGCGGATTCGGGATTCAAAAGTAAAATGCCTAATCAATACAAAACTCTATCTTTCAATACTAATATTAGTACTCTTTGATTTAAATCTCTTCAAGAGTGAAATTTTCCCTGCTATCTAGATGCCTGTGGGTTTTGGTTTTAATTGAATTGGATGCTCTACTGTTGAACAAAGCACTCTAGATTGAGTGCTTTCAAGTACTTTTTTTTGACCCACATCTATCAATTTCAATTTTTCCTGATTTTATGTCTGTTTTAAGTAAGATATTGATGGAAATAATGAGTAATCTTCAAAATTGCTTTATTGACTGCAACTCATAATTGAGCGAATCTCACTATGTTGCTGATGTTGCTGTCTATTTGCTCCTAAGAATGTTGTGTATGTCTTTTGTGTACTTGTTAAATGTCTTCTTTATGTTTTAATCTTGACCATTTTCTTCTTAGGTAATTTTTAAATGTAATAATGATTTCTGTAATTTGTTTGACTTTCAAAATTGGAAAAAAAATCCTCTGTGATATCCTTGTATACTTAAAAAAAAACAAAAAGGTGTTAGTGTATATGTACATGGCTAAGCAGAGGAGTTAGGTCCTTTGCAGTTGCATAGAATCTGGAACCAATTTAAAGATGAAAGGGAACCCTCTTTGGGAAACTAATGGTCACTTGAGGATACACAATAAACTCTTCCCTGGCTCTTAAATCAAAGTACCAGGAACAGCAGGCTTTGTGAGTTACCAAGCTATCTTTGTGGAAATGTAATCGTTCTATTTTTCCATCTATTCAGTAACAAAGCCTGGAGTATCCACTAGGATTCTAATGGCCTTTTATTTTTGGCCTTTTTTTTTTTTTTTGGTCAGTCGTGGGGCTTGAACTCTGGGCCTGGGAGCTGTCCTTCAGCTCTTCAGCTGAAGGCTAGCACTCTACCACTTGAGCCACACTGCTTCCTCTAATGGCCTTTTAAGATGGTATTTGCTGTTATGAGAAAGGCATCATCCTTTCCCAGTACTTGTAAAATGGCTAGCCCTTTTTAAAAAAAGTGAGAAGTATAAGGTGAAGAGATTGGGTCAATGTTCCCTTCATTTTATATTCAGTATTGCCCCCTCCCCCGCCGTATTAATTTTGAATTTGCCATGAATTGATACCAATGTGTACTACAGTACACTAAGTTTTCAAAGTGTCTCGTTACCTATATGAGGGCAAATGATCAAGAATCAACCCTGCCTAGTCAAACAGCATGAAAGTAGAATCTTAAAATATCATTTGCAGTTCTAAGCCATATCTCACTTCAATTGTTATAAGAATAGTACTTCAGGGAAATTTTCATAAGTCTTACCATTCAGAAAATAGAGAATTTGATCTACAAAACACATTGGGTCCAAGAACTAAACCTTACTAATCTAAAACTTTTTACTTTGACAGAAGAGATCCAAGCAGCGGAAGTTACAGCAGAAGGCCTTCCGCAAAAGGCAACTGAAGGAGCAGAGGCAGGCCCGGAAGGAGAGGCTCAGTGGGCTTTTCCTTAATGAAGAAGTGCTGTCCTTGAAAGTGACAGAGGAAGACCATGAAGCAGATGTTGACGTTCTGATGTAATAAGAATGATTCTATGAGCATTCTTTCCAAGCATTATTCTATCTTTATTAGTTTACATGCATCTTGGCCAAAATTTTGGTTAGGGTTTTGCTGGTGTACCTTTAACAGTTTAAACCAGTGGTTCTAAGAGAGTGGTCCCAGGACCTGCAGCTTCAGCATCACTCAACAACTTGTTAGAAATGCATGCTATTGGTTCTACTTCAGACCAATCAAACCACAAGAGTGGCAGCATAATTGTGTTTTGTTTTAACCAGTGTCAGATTATTCTGGTACACATTTTGGTTTAAGAACCATTGGTTTAAATAAGTGTTTTGACCATTTAAACTTTATGGTGGGATTTTTCAAAGACTAGTATTTCTACAATTTTAGAGATTTCAAAGTACTGACAAGTAGTTTATTATATCAGTGTGTGTACATGTGTAGGGATCGTAATTCAGTTCCCTTAATGTCAATATTTCTTAGTTTACTTTTTCTAAAAGGCCATAGCATAATTTTCAATTCCAGATGGAAATCTGTATGGAAGTGAGTGTGCACACAAAGTTCAATTGCTGTTTACAATAGTGCCTTTATTAGGTTTTGTTCTGTTTCCACTCATTAGTAACTCAAGGGTATAAGAATTGGCCCAAATCTTTTCTCAGTTTGATTTGCCTCTGTTTTTCTCCTTCCGTAAAAATCGGAATTCTTTCTGTAAGTGATAACTACTGAAGAAATGATGTTACTAGTAGCTGAATTTTAGACTGACGGCTAGGCTGATTAATATTGAAATGGACACTGCAATATGCTAAACAATAACTATTCCCCTTTTCAATTGCTTTCTGAAATTTTAGGCTGTAAAATGATCCTAAAGACCTAAATTGATTGATCTCTCTTCTCTGTCTAAATTATTTTGGTAGGTTTTCTTTTAATCCAGCACAGCTCTAATTTTGAAATATTTAGTGTAGCAGTTTCGGGCTTATGATAGTGAGCAGGTTCATGTTCTAACTGAACTGTTGAACCCCCTTAGAGTTCTCTTAACCTTTGTGAATTGTTATATAGAAGGCACCTTAGCTTGTTGGTTATTAATAGAGCCCTAATTTTAAATATAACATGGAATTTCTTTAAGTATTTTCAGAGTTTGTTATCAAGAAGTTAGAAATGATATGAATCCTTATCTCCTACCATATCTTTCAACATCCATGTGGGTAAAAAAGGTGGAAAGTGATACTACTGACAATCAAGCTGCTTTCTGAGTTAGTTTTGTAATGTTCTTGGGGGTAACATTTAGGAGGATATTTTGAATCTGTAGAAATAGTTGTAGACAACATTTAAAAATTATAGAGTCTCTAGGCTAATAGGGTTTCTACCTTTTCTAAACATTAGCTTGTTAAAAAGATGAGCAATTAAAATTTTTTCTTTGTATTGGTCCTGGGGCTTAATTCAGTACCTAGGAGCTATCCCTGAGCTGCTTTTTTTTCTTTTCTTCAAGGCTAGTGGTCTACCACTTGAAGTTTGAAGTGCAGCACCACTTCCAGCCTTTGGGTGGTTAAAGTCTCATGGACTTTTTCCTGCTCGGGCTGGCTTTAAACTTCAGTCCTCAGATCTCAGCTTCCTAAGTAGCTAAGATTGCAGGTATGAGCCACCAGTGCTCAGCTAGCAATTTAAATTCTTTTTTGTTGTTGTTGGTGATAGTCATGGGCCTTGAATTGGGGCATGGGTGATATCCCTGACCTTTTGCGCTCAAGGCTAGCGCTCTACCACTTTGAGCTACAGCTCCCCTTCTGGTTTTTTGGTGGTTAATTGGAGGTAAGGATCTCAAGGACTTTCCTGCCTAGGTGGGCTTCAAGCCACGATCCTCAGATCTCAGCCTCTTGAGTAGCTAGGATTACAGGTGTAAGCCACCAGGGCCCGGCTAATATAAATTCTTAATTTTCAGTTGATAAAAGCTTAAACTTTGTTTACTTAAAACCAAAATTACCATGTATTTTGAATTTTTAATTTCATTTTGGTTCCTTGAAATTTAAAATAATTAAAACAGAATAAAAATGCATTGCAGTTCCGCTAAGTTCTATAGTATGAATGGTCGTAATGTTTTGAAGATGCAGTCAGAGTTTAAATGAAAATGTGTATGTATATAGGTTTGTTAATAGGAGCAGTCTTTCTGACTTTCCTCATGCTCCTTGTTTGATGGTCCTTACCAACTTGGAGCGCTCAAAAAATTCTTGGAGAGAGACCCCAGAAAACATGAAGGAAGATGCAAAGGGTCCACCTCATTTCCCTTCCAAGTATAGGAAGAGCAAAGGGAGAGATGAGCAAAATACACCTGTATCCTTTACCTGCTCTTAACAAGTGCTGAGTTCCACCTAGTGATTACTTGCTCTATTTACCTATTCTTTATGGGAAGTAAGCCACATTCTGAGAGATAGAGCAGCATTTAGATGTCACCTACTTGGAAACGCTTTGATGGTGATCTGTAAAAGAAACTCCTGAACAGGGTTATAATAGGATTTAAGACTGATCACTGCTCTCTCAACAACCATATAGTCTTATTTACCTTAGATTTAACTGAAGTCACTATTAAACATGTTTACCAAAGTGCCACAAAGCTGATTTTTAAAAGTTTATGAAGGTTTCAGTATTTAGAAAAGTGCACTGTGAAGTTTTGTGTAAATTGTATAAGTTAAAAACTGTACATAAGCTGGATTTGAAAGAGACTGAAAACAGTTTTTCTGGGGCTTGAACTCAGGGTCTGGGCACTGTCCCTGAGCTTTTTGCTCAAGGCTAGTGCTCTGCCACTTGAACCATAGCTCCAGTTCCAGCTTTTTTGGTGCATAATTGGAGATAAGAGTCTCACAAGACTTTCCTGCCTAGGATTGGCTTCAACTGCCATCCTTACATCTCAGCCTCCTGAGTTAGGATTACAGGCATGACCCACTGGCGCCCATCTGAAATCTCCTATTACAAAATTAAATAACTTGACATTGCTTGGGATCCAAGAAGGCCCTTATGGAATGTTTCTCCCTTCAAAACAGAAACCAGCCTTCAAAACAGAAACCAGTCTTTGATAATGTTCTGTGTTTTCGTTCCGTTTTTAATGCCTCATGTAGATCAGGTTTGAATTATATCTGTCTTGGAATAAGTAATCATTTATTTACTCTGGTATCTCCCTGAGTTAAATTTAAAACAAATCCAAGTCAGTATTTCTTAAGTGTAAATTAATAAAAGATAAGACTTACTGCTCCAGTGCTGTTTCTTTGATCTGAAGATAACTTACCCTAGAACAAATAAGTCTCTGCTTTAAAAATATACCTTTTTAGCTGAGGGTATGGTATTGTCCCCACAAATCTAATCACAGACAGTTTGTTAAATAGAGACATCATAATATTATGTCAGTCCTTACCACAGCTTTTTTAAAATAGGAACCTTAAGATGATGTGTTTGTTTTCCTTAGCTTTGCAACTATTAAAGGAAGCAATATATCACGATGCATAGTGCAGTGCTTAGTTCATTCTGTCCCAATAGGAACTTAGCATAAAATGACACTTGACAGTTTAATCCAGTTCCTCTGTCCCTAAGGTAAATTAGTTGTTGCTGAACTAAGCCCAGAATCTGACCTATAAAATAATAACCTTTCAATTGAGTGCATGTCTCCTCTTATTTAGCAAGTGCTAAATCCCCTCATAAAGGAAAAACTTGTATGAATCCGGGCACCAGTAGCACAAGCCTGTAATCCTTGCTACTCACAAGGCTGAGATCTGAGGGTCTCCATTTGAAGCCAGCTGGGGCAGGAAAATCCATAAGACTATCTCCAGTTAATTAAATACTGGGAAAGCAGGAAGTGGAGCTGTGGCTCAAGTGGTAGATGGTTAGCTTTGAGCAAAAAAGCTCAGGGTCAGTGCCCAGGCCCTGCACACACATATACTCACACACACACACACACACACACACACAAAACTTATATAAAGGTCCAGATTCTGATGAGCTTTAACAATTGTAAAGTTTATCCAATATCTTCATATTTAAGCCAAAAATGTTCATACATAAACATTATAGAAGTCATGTTTGTTTTGGGTTCTCTAACAAAGTTTTTGTTCATGTATTACTCTGTGCAACCTCATGTGCCTTACAGGTGATGAACTCTGATATCAGGCTTTTTCCAAACTCCAAAACAATTGATGTATTATGATTTGGTTTATGTTAGGCCCATGGTGTTTGGATATCAACAAGCAAACTCATTCAGTTGAATCAATTGGTACTACTAGAGTGTAAAATGAAATGTAAACTTCAGATCGTAAATTTCATTTGCATAACTTGGTTTTCAGCCAGCTAGATCATTGGAAGTTATCTAAAGTATGGCTTAACAAATTTTTTCCCCTGAAGGAAGCCAAAGGCCAGGATAGCAGGCTTTGAACATGCAGGGTCTGTTTTACCCTTCCAAGTGCTGGGATTACAGGTGTGCACCACCACACCTGGGAAGGATATTATATTAAACTAGATAGCTTTTACTTATCTGGAAAGACAATTCTTAAGGTGTAAGGGAAGGTACTTCAAGAACTGAGATTAGATTGTTTTGCTAATTTTAGGTATTTAAAAAACCATTTGTGTAATTGTTTTTTCAATCCTCTTTTAATGAACAGGTTACCTTTAGCACTTCTGAAGATGCTTGTTTGAAATTCATGGGGGGTACTTAGTTTATGGTTTTGGGTAGCTGATAGTTAAGTTCCTATTTGCATTAAATAATATTGATGTTGAGGGCACTGACATTCAACATGTCTAAAGTAGAGGTGAATGTAATCTCTAAGACTGTCAGTTAAAAAGATATTTGAATACAAATGTACTGTGGTAACTTTGGAATGGGTTTATTGCATGTAAGTTTATATGGTAAAAGAAACCTATCTTAAACATGGAGTTAGTAAGAACCATCTGAGATTTTGAGCTAGTAGGCACTTTTTGTCAGCATAATTTCTAGAGTATATTCTTTAGAATATTAAGGCATTGTTTCTTTGGATAATTATTTTCTTACTCCAAAAGTCTTAGAAGCAGCTCAGAATTCTTCCAACTGGCTGTTAAGAGTAAGGAAGTTGAGTTGCATGGCATAGCTGAAGATGTGAATTGACTCACTACAATTTTATTTTCAGGTTTTAGTGTGAGTATTTGTTGTCGGCTCTCCACTTCCTTTTTTTAAATTGAAGTTATCAATGTTTATATCTAGATTAAATATTGGTGGATTACATTTTAGTATGACATTCATGCCAAACTCAGAAAACCTAGTTTGCTTTTTGTTGACTTCCACATATATTACATTATCTGTACTCTCATGTCTCTGTTAAACCTTTGTGGTGAATGAAACCTGTGGAAATCTGTCCCTTTTTTGTGGTGAGGATTGAGGTGGAAAAGGGAGACTTGCTTAATTATGTATCCAGTTTGATTCTTAAAACTAGTTGTAGAATTAACATGTATAGTAGCCAAGTTAATGCTTAACGATGCTCAATTATTCTAAAGAATGATGGACTAAAGCCATGACCTGTCTTGTTGAGCTGCTTGCTCTTTAACGGTAGCTAATCTGTTGAATTTAAATTGAGACTGGGGTTAGGTTGTCCAACTGAGGCTTTTAAGTGTGTATCTGGTCATGTTTGTTCCTGATATTGGGTAAATTTAATTTCCTGTTTGAGTACACTAATTCACAGTCTAAATCTGTGTTGGGAATCTTAATAGGAGTGTGGTCAAAAGTTAACAAATACAAGTATATGTAAAACATTTCAGAGATGGTTAAAAATTTCAAATTTTTTTCAGGTTTGCTTTTGTTTTTGTTTTTAGTTTCAAAAATTAGTTATGTAGCATCATTATCATAACCAAAGCAATTAGAAAATTGACTGACTTGGAGATTCTCCAAATAGTCTTAAATACTGTAATGTATCATTG